GATTAGCATCAACAGCATTTTAAGATACTTGTAACACCTGAGCTCACCGCAATAACAGGAGGTAGCTATGAAATTATTACAGTAGGAGAGTGTGTATTCATTAATTTTATGCAATTATGATTTAATATTGCATTTTTACATTTGTTTACATTTCTCTTGACCAAGAATGATGTCATGTACGATCTGTGTTTGTATGTGTAAAATTTGGTCAATTTTAACTTTTTATACAACAGATTTGCCTATGTTTTATGATAGTAAATGATAAGTAGACTGGTATCTCATATATTTTATGCATTTATGACATATCAACTTTTTCTTAATTTTTAAATATTTCTAGGTTACACAGTTCATCTGCGAGTTTTTCAATTGTTGCAAATCTCCAAAAAATGTTCAACATATTTATTTAAAAAGATCTGTGTATAGGTGGACCTGTGCAGTTCAAACACATGTTATTTAAGAGTCAATAATTGTAGTTACAATTATTTTAATAAAGAGAATACACAGGCTCACTTTCAAATTCTAGCACCATCTTTGGAGATAATCCAAGAGCTTTTTGGAAATGTCTGAAGCTTTATAAATGTAAACTTTCTGAAGCTTTCATCAATATGCTTTAGTCTGCTTATTGTCAAGAGGATTTTTCCAGTAACATTATTTCATATGCTGAGTTGTACATATTGTGATTACAAGTTTAACAGTATTGTCACAGAATTCTGTGAAAAGATGCTAAATATGGTAGATCTGTAAATTCCACTGTTACCAGTTTTTCAGGTTGGATTTCCTTTTTCTCTAGTATGTTATGCTTTACTAGGGAACTCTCCTTGGATCAGTTAGTGAAACAATTAGTGTTTCCATTTAATGTCTTCAAAAAATTCCACATCGTGTAAAAAATTCACCTCTTCCCAACCCAAATGAAACCAGACTTATAATTGATAATTGGTGATATATATGTATATGTGTGTGTGTGTGTGTGTGTGTGTGTGTGTGTGTGTGTACTATATGTAAAACTTTAGTTATCTGTATCATTTTTCTTTCCTCCAGCATTTGGTTTTCTGTTTTTGTTTTTAGTCTGTTACATCAGTCCCAAAAAGGGAAAGCTAAATAAAAGAAAGTTATTAGTAATAAGAGTAAGGTTATCAGGAATAATTATCACAACAAAGAACCTCTTAAGAGAACCAGTGCTGGTCTCAGGTTCATTAACAGAAGAGAGAAGTCATTAAGGCAGATGTTAATTAGAAGATGGTGAGAAGCTTGTCTCAATTTCTGTAGAAAATAGGGTAAAACAGCCATAGAATACAAAATGGGTAATATTTTACTTGGAGGAATCAAAGTAGTGTGCTCATCTAAGATTTGGTCTGCTCAGCTTCTCCTTTTGCAAATTGTTCCCTACTCCACACTGTCATCTATATGGTTCCATCAGGAACTACCACAATATATGACTTTCCAATACTCACTGATCCAAGGTGATTCAATTACAGTTCTTCCCTGGAAAATTTTAAAATTGAAACTGATAAAAAGAGACCAGTACCTTTCTGGACACCTAAACTATAAGACATAGAAATTGAGAGTTTTTAGGAAACATATTTCCTGCCAAGTAAAATCGAGACAAAGGAGTTCTGCAGCAAAAACCTGCATAGATGCTCAAGCAGAGATACAGAGAAATGTGATTACTGGAGGAGACAGAGGCTCAGACGCATCAGGATCAGTTGTCCTGTGCCCAGTCTCATCACCTCTGTACTGGGCATCTCAATATTCTCATTAAATCCCCTTTTTGGCTTCAGTTAGTTTAAATTGGCCTTCATTGCAATAACAAAAGTCTCTGGTTAAGATGCTCAGTTTATTTAATGCTTTATATGAATCAGGCAATGTTTTAATGCTTTATGTACTTCATCTCAAATTTTCACAACAACCTGTAAAGTTAGTAATATTATTTTGCATTTGAAGAAATTTTAGAGATCGAACTGCTTAATAGAAAATTCTATGTAGATGTTCCACAGGTGTGTAAAACACATTTCTCCCTCTGTAAAATAGGAAAGTCTGTTCTCACTCCCTAAGATGTTTTTCTCCCTGCACACACCTGGCCAAACTTGATTCATCAGCTTCGGTGTCCTCAGAGAAGACTGTCCTGCCCACCCAATCTAAAGTAGGTTCTCTGATAGCATCCTAGTATTTTATACATCAGGTAATTTCAATTACATATTCTGTATTTTGTTTCCTTCTGTTCTCTCACATGCTCCTGCACTAGACTATAATAAGTAGTGACCATATCAACATTTTTGCCATTGTAGCCCTGTGTTCAGCACAAGGACAGACACAGGGAAGGGAAGGTGCCCCATAAATATGTTTGAATAAAGTAAAGACTTCTAAATGTTTCCATTCATGTATCTATGAAGCTATACTCAATAACTTTCAGCAAGCCGGGCTCGGTGGCTAAGCCTGTAATCCCGCGCCTTTGGGAGGCTGAGGTGAGTGGATTGCCTGAGCCCGCGGGTTCGAGACCCGCCTGGGCAGCGAGACCTCATCTCTACAATAAATAAAAAAATCAGCCGGGCACGGTAGCGCATGCCTGTAATTCTGGCTACTCAGAAGGCTGAGGCGGAAAGATCGCTGGAGCCCAGCAGGTTGAGGCTGCGGTGGCCGGGAGCGGCCACTGCACTCCAGTCTGGGCGACAGAGTGAGACTCCAACTCAAAAAAAAAAAAAACTTTCAGCAACTACTTATTGAGCAACTAGTATATATATGCAGGGTACTGTGGTAGGCCATGTTGAGACAAAGACAAGAAACGGCTCTCTCCTGTAGAGTTCATAGTATAGCATAAGGACCAAACGGGGATAACTATAATACAGGGAGAGAAGTGTTATAACAGAGATATGAACAAAGTGCTGTGGTTGTAAAGAAGGGTAGTAATTGAGATATGATTCAGGAAGTCAAAGTCAGAAAAAGAAATTGCCAGGGTTCAAGTGGTCAGTTTTTTTAAAAAATAATGTCTCCATTCTGATACAGCTTTATCCTGTGCTTCCCTCTAATGTATAAGGCCTGGAGCAGAAGTCACAGTAAATATGTCCTTGAGTAGTGATGCATGAAAGCCATAACTCTCTACTCTTGAGTCTTATGATCATCCTTGGCACTTGGCTTATCTCCATTTTACTCTGTAAAGACACTGAGCATCAGCTCAAGTCTCTCCAAAGAAGTCCTGGTCTGTACTACAAGTCAGACTTTTTCCCTTCATGTCTCCAGATCTACTTTCCCTGAAGCGGAAATTAGGGGAATGCAGAAAGGATAATGTTCTCCCTCCCTTCCTCTCTTCCTTCCTTCCTTCCCTGGGGTGCACAGTGGCATGATCACAGTTTTGGCAATCCTTCTGCCTTAGCCTTTCAAGTAGCTGGAACTACAGGTGCATGCTATGCAGGCTAATTTTTTGATTTATTATAGAGATGAGGTTTCGCCAAGTTGCTCAGGCTGTTCTCCAATCTGTGGGCTCAGGCAATCACCTTACCTTGGCCTCCCAAAGTGCTGGGATTACAGGCTTGAGCCACTGTGCCAGGCCGATGTTCTTCTTTCAAGACAGTTTCATGTGTTCTCGTTACAGTAAGTGGTTTATGGAAAATTATCTGAGTGCTATGATTTCTGTCTGATGGCCATCTTCTCTCCTGCTGACCAGGTGACCCACCCCAACACAGGTTAGAGACCACTGATCTAGTTGTGTTCCAGGACAGATCTCTGCTTTTAAAAAATCTTTCCTGCATCTTTGTTATTTGTCAGGAACACTTCAGATAAAACCTCCCTTTGGGATCTGCATGTATATGTGTGTGAATAATTGGGGTTAACTTTAAAGGGAAAAAATAATTTTGGCTAATCACCACTATCACTAGTCATCTAGTGAAAACCTACAAAGGACACAATGGAAGGAAAGATGTAGATATTATGTAACTGTGTACCTTTTTAATCTCAGAATTTTAAATATGTAACACTATCACCACGTAGTTACAGTATGGGCTCTTTAAGTCAAACCCCCCCACCAAAAAAAAAAAAAAAAAAAAGACTTTTCTAAAACAACCCACCTGGGTCTGGTGTCCTGACTTTAAAGAACTATGAAATGAAAAAAGTGAAAGCAATTTCAAAATTAAAATAAACATTTTCATTTCAAACCAAAAGCTTGCTTCATCCTTTGATTAATCAAACACTGATTGATACTCCACAGGTACCAATCAAATCAAATTGGCCACCCCCTGAGGCCCACTCTGCCTATTAGCTGAGAGCTTCTGCTCTGGCAGCAGATAGAATTCCACCTCTTCCACTTACTGCCTTATTGTCCTTTGACAAGTGACTTACTTCTATGTGCCTTAGTTTCTGCCTCTTTAAAATGGATATGAACATTAGATTATCTCACAGGTTGTCATCACAACGAACGGTAACATATGTGTGGTGCTTAAGTACACAGAGACACTACATTAGTATAATTACTTTTAAGCTAAATTTTCTTTCAGCACCGCGGTTAGCGTCAAAAATCCTGAAGGGCATTGAAATGTCCTTAAAGTCAAACTGTATACGATTAAATTAAATTCTACTTGAGTATGTTCTGTATCTTCAAATAAGGGAACAGGGAGGCAGACAACCAAAAAGTAGTGGGAACCCAAGCACCGACGGACAAACCCCATCCTGCTTTGCATTCTCCAAGGTGAACGGAAAGCTCCAGCCTTGCAAACGGAGGGGCCCCAGAAACGTAGAGACCTGGGGAGCTCTGGGCTCCCACCCCCAGGTGCCTCCAAGACGTCCCTACTGTCGGGTCGCCAGCCGCTCTCCAAGTCCAGCCCCGCCCACCTCGCTGCTGCCTGGCATTTTGCGCCCCGGCCCGCCGCGCCAGGTCGCCCACGGCGCATGCTCCGCGCCGCGGGGCGGGGCGGGGGGAAGCGCC